GGGGGGGGGGGGGGGGGGGGGGGGTATGGGTCACGTTTCACAAAAAAAAAGCCGTTTCACGATTCACGTGTCTTAAAAAAGCAATTTCACGGAAAACTAGATTCTAATAAAATAAAATAATATAATAATAATAGGTTTATTAAGAGTATGTTTATTGCCTCTCACTTCTCTACCTGGCAGTAGTGACGAGTATGTCCGACGACCTCCGAAAGGCCTCCGAAGTTTTTACTCTTGTGCAATCGAGTGAGATCATATAAATTGATTATCGCGTATCATGTTTATTATGACTATTATAAAATAGATCGAAATAAACAAAGCAAAACCACAGTTCACGAAACAGACAACGACACATCCTTAATTAATTCTCCTTTCACCATTATTAACTGTGCTTTCACGGAGCATTTTTATCGACAATTATGCCTCACGGCTGTAGAACAAATCACATTTCACGACACTAAAATCTAGCATTTCACATTTCACGCGAACAAATATTGACCATTCACGGCTCACGAAAATACCCTTTCCCACCCTCTCTATACCCTATACCAGAGACCCTATACCAGAACAACGAAGCGAGCATCCTCGTAGCGAGCCGACACAAGCCGACACGAAAACCGATATATTTATGACGTCATGTCAGTTTGGTAGATGGAAACAAATGCTGATCGTTTTTGTGTGATGGCAATATGGCGGATGTAGAGAACGTAGAAACAGGTTCTCAGCATAAAGAAGACGGAGAAAAAACGATTGAGGAAGCCCAGAAACATGATGATACATACACTGCTGCTGAAGTAGCAATTGCTTTGAGCAATGATTCAACATTAGATGCGAGAGCACAGCTTGCCAATTTAATATCACTTGTACATAGTATTGAATCGAGTACTGGCGAACCTGATCACAAGAAAGTCGTATATGAAGTTTTTGGAACGGTATTTGAACAAAATACTTTTATCTTGGCTTATAGGAACGATAATTTTGATTATAAATCTCAGAGTTGCGTTTGAAATGATTAAAATTAGGCCACGGTGCAGTAATCACCCGAAGGTGAATCATTAATCAACATAGAATTGTTAATTGCAACAATATTATTATTTTGAACTTTTTTTAGCTTGTTGGTGGGAATTTTGACCTGGAGATTAATTTTACGATCAAGAACTCTCCCAATCTGTTAATTCTTCTGGAATTATTGCAATATTGTGATGCTTCCTTATCGGTAAGAATATTAATATGCATGACTGAATATTGATCTCAAGTGTCGATCGTTTGTGTATTTTGCCACATATATTAACAAAGAATTCTATGGTTTTGTTAGAATACTCTAGTGTGCAATAGTTTGTGGCTAAGGAGCAGCAGCAATATCCACTTGCTTTTTGCTTTGGTGCTAATAATTAATATTCTAACAATATAATATATAAATGCGAAGCGTTGTTTTGCAACAAATGGGTAATGTAAACATGTCAAATCTTGTTTTCAATATTACTGTTTTAGTTTGGCAGTCAAATGATAAATGGGGTGTGATGGGGCAGATGTTATGTTTGTGACAAACTATTTTGAGTAGAGGCCAAGTCTGTCTTTAATACCAACATTGCAGGACAATTATTAGTAATGAATAAGTTGGGATAGCGCAGATCTTTTTGGGACTATGGTCCATTCCATTTAATATACACACACCCTATGTACGAGGTCAATAAAATTTGAACCCCTAAGAAAAAAAGATCAAAGTGCCGACACAAACACCCCCCCAGAAATTAAGAAATTTTTGCCTTACCCCTCAGAAAAAACGCAAAGATCAAAGGATGCCGATGCACACAACCCCTCAGAAACAGCTTTTTCAACCCCCCTCAGAAATTCTCGTCCATAGGGGGGTGTGTATATTA